ACTAATTTTGTATTATAATACTGAATACTTAGCTTTTTACAACTACTTTATTTCAAGGCATGTAAACAATTTACCGCCAACCTATATCCAGTGAAAAAAAGAAGTGAAACCTATTCTTAAGTAGAAAAGCAGAAAAGGATGTTAGCTCAACAAATACAGCAGTAAGCACAGATCCCATCAGACTAAAGGAAAGTGTACAAGGATCATCAAATTACTCATCTTTTCAAGAAAATGACAATGGCTTCAAAGGAAATGCTCAGGGGACAATATTAGGGCTACTTCCAACCCTAATATTGTTCGGGTGAGTATGGAAAATAGAGGGCCAAGTTTGAACGTATAACTCAGAATCTCTTGTTTCTGTGGCTCAAAAATATTCAATTAGCAAGGTTGGGAGAAGAATCACAGTCCCAGCTGCAGAACTGACTTATGTCTCATACCTTGGTTGGTAGCACCAAAAGGAATGCCAATAGGTGGTTCTTACAAAAAGACCTGCAAATAGCGTGCTGGCACCAAGACATGAGCTTCACCAAGAACAAGGGGGTGGGGATAAAACCAAAAACACACAAAAAGACCAGCACATAAATGATGTTTTCCTGCGGAGAAATATCAGACTTCTGATCACTAGACTGTTATATAGAAATTTACATCAAATTACAATCTAGGTTAAGATCTAAAATGATGATTCTAACACCAGCTTGACTGATGATCAAATGCAAGCTGAAACTGCCTTATGGGCAAAATTCAGGTCTGTTGTCAAGATGAATAAAAATAAGTTAAATAATCAATGATATACATGCCGGAAATTCCAAAAACAATGACAGACTGAAAGGTCAGGTATTTTAGGACTTATACATGTTCTTAAAGTTTGAATGTAGCAATCATAAATTTAACAAAGACATCAGAAATCTGCACTTGAATATGCTAAGAAGCATATACTTTCACAATCAATTTCTACGTGCTTTCGTTTGAGCATAATTTTGAACAGATAAGAACAGGAAATGGTAAAGCTATTGACATTGCACATTTTGTGCTTATGTTCAGCTAAAAACTGGCATGTCAACTTACTTTTTTAAAAAATCATATTTATGACAGCTGTGTGGTCATATCTGAGTAAAGCAGCAATTGTAAATAAAATGTCCTGCTGTCTAGGTTACATCAACAGAATTGCCATGGCAAGCCACATGAGTAAGATCAATTATTTCATCCTCTCCTCACTTTTCCTTGTGAATGTCATCATGATAGTCTGAGTTGCTTTTGTTTTACATTTATAAGTATCCCAATGCTGTCTGAAAAGAAAACTAGTTATTATTTTTTAATTGTTATATATTTTTTTATTTTAGCATATTTAGGGGTACAAATATTTAGGTTACATATATTGCCTTTGCCCTACCCGAGTCAGAGCTTCAAGCATGTCCATTCCCCAGATGGTGCACACCACACACATTAGGTGTGAATATACCCTCCCCTCCTCCCTCCTCTCACCTGCCCAACACCCAATGAATGTTACTACTATGTGTGCACTTAAGTGTTGGTCAGTTAATAGAAATTTGATGGTGAGTACATGTGGGGTGCTTGTTTTTCCATTCTTGTGATACTTCACTACATTAATGTACTGTCTACGCTTTTGGTATTGCTTTTTGAATTCCTTTACAAATTATTTTAAAAATCAATATTATTACTGTTCTTTGAATTCTCTTATCAATACTCAGTGTATTAAAGAATAAAAAAACAAGTAAATGGCAAGAAACTTTACATTAAATCTATAACCAGTGATGAGAAGATATTCTCTATAAATAGTAACTTAAGAAAAATTGTTTCAAACACTGTGGTGTTAAAATGAGTGTCATTAGTTCTCTGCTAATACAAAGGCTCAGTTCTCAGACACTTGTTCATACACAGAATTAACAAAGTCTTCCAGAATAAAAGTGAAGGCAGATAAGCTCCCTTTTCTGAAGTTCTTTCATCTCTGGAGTTTCAGCTCCTTCAGGTCTTGTTGCCACTGCAGGTCTCTGGTACCTCCAAAGAGGTAATTTCTCTATTTTATCTGGCTTTTCTAGTTTTGTTTGGTTGGAATGCTCACCTGATGCAAGTTACTCCATTCCATAAAGAAGGAGAATCTCTTCATCACAATTCATTTTTAAAAAATTATAGTGTATTTTGTGTTTATATGTGTATATCAAAAGATGTGGATTAAAGTTGTCTTCAACTAATTAAAATTACATTGAAACCTAATATTTGGATTTTAAAAGCTTAAGAAGGAGGGAAATGGGCATTTGTATAGTTCAGAGACTCTAGCTAGATTTCTTCCATGTGCAAGCTTGAAATAGTCTATAATCTACTTTTAAAGGATATTTATTATGTAGCATGCACTCATTTATATTCTACCTGACTTTTGCAATGGAGAAATAGATATTCTGTTCTATTCTATTCTTTCATAATCTCATCAGGCAATTACTACTTCTGGGAACAGATCTTAAACTGAAGAAAAAATAGGAAGAAAATTAGTTGGCTTATCCTAGCTAGGGGAGAAAAAAGGAAGTAATGAAGTAGAACTAAAGTTTAAATCCTAAAGGCAAATTGAAATACTACATATGTAGAAAGAGAAATGAAAAGCAAATAAACCTATAAATGAGAAAATAGATTTAACTAAACAAAAAATAAAAGGAAGAAAGAAACCAGTCTTATTTAATTGTTTCTTCTGTGTTGTTAGATAATATTTATGAAGTTATTAAGAATTAATTTTCATGTTGACTTGAATCTGGCAATGAGCAAACATGTGAATTTTTTCACTATACAATTTTATTTCCTTTTTTAACTGTACAATTTTAGTTTAAAGTTTGATTTTATCCTTTGCTCATACTTTCTTGAATCTTTTACTTTTACTGATAAAATTCTCTTATTTTCCTAGTTTTTTTTTCAAAAATGGTAACATTCTCAGGTTTCATCTGCTAGTTATTTCTTCTCTGTGATCATTAGCAAATAAGTTATTGAGCTGTCTCTACAAATTGTTTTGTACTCCAGGGCAAGATTAAGCAAGTATGTTAAGCAAGTAAGTTAAGCAACTTTATCTTATATATTGCAATTTATACAATCTTACTATTTTATGACTTCCTGTAATGTCAACATTTAATTTTGTTAGTTTCCTTTGATGAATATTGCCTAGATATTTATAGCAAAGTTTAGACTGAAAGAGTTAGAAACAAAATGCCTTGTTATTCCTAATCAAATGCTCTTAGGCAAATGTTAAAGCATATTGAATTTGCTTTATAATCCATCAGCTATTTTTTTCTTGTTAGAATAAACAACAAGGAATAAACTAAGCCTAATGGCATGCATTGGAAAGAAGGTCTACTCAGAATTTACCATTTGGATTTATCTAATTAACCTATGTATTGAAATTCTTAATGTATATCTCTACAAATGTAATATACTTAAGTTGAATTTAGAACATGATGTAATATTCTAAATCACACATTAAAACAAACATTTAAATATGCTTCACTTTAGTATTCTTATTAGTATTTTCTATAAGCCTGTATTATAATATTAATTTTTCACTATTATTTTTATGCATTACTTGACGATGATGATAATTAGAAACATGTCTTAGTCTTTTCATTCTGCTACAACAAAATATCGGAGGCTAGGTAACTTATAAACAACAAAAATTTATTGCTCATAGTTATGGAGACTAGAAAGTTTAAGATCAAGATGCCAGCAAATCTAGTGTCTAAGGAAGGTTTACTCTCTGTTTCAAGAATGGTGCCTTGTTTCTGTGTCCTAACATGATGAAACAGACAAACCAGCTCTCTCCGGCCTTTTTTATAGGGATACTAATCCCTTACCTCCCAGATGCCTCACCACACAATACTACTATGTTGGATTTCAACATATGAATTTTGGGGAGTTACAGATATTCAGACTATATCATAACATGTAAAAAATATTCACATTCTATTTTGCACACAAAACACCCATATTTACACACGAGAAAAGTAACTGCTTAATTATACTAATATATTCATGAGAAGATTGTGAAAATATATGTATATACCATTTCAGAGTCAATATTTTCATTCGTTTTACTTATAAATACTATAGAAAACACTTAATAAATAGAAGAAAATTTCTAGACTTAACAAGTTTCAAAGTAGGAGTGAGGTCAGTAAGAAGTGGTAAATTGCAACAAACATTTAAAGAAGAATTAACTTTATTCTTCTCAAATTCTTCCAGAAAATTAAAGAGAGGGGAAGACTTCTAAACTCATTTTATGAAACTAACATTATCCTGATAGCAAAGTCAGACCCAGACATAAGGAGACAAGAATACTATAAGAAAGTATCCCTGAAAAATACATGCAAAAATCTTCTATAAAACCCAAGAAATTGAATTCAAGAGCACAGTAAAAAGATCATACACCATGATCAAGTAGATTTATTCCTGGGATGCAAGGATGGTTCAACATATGAAAATCAATTAATTTGTTAACCATGTTAATATAATAAAGAATAAAAATTGCATGATCATCCCAATAAATTCAGAAAAAGCATTTTATTTAATTCAACACATTTTCATGATAAAAACTCTCTACAAACTAGAAATAGAAGAAAAGTATCTCAGCACAATCAAGTCTGCATGAAAGCTCATAGCTAACATCATACTCGAGGGTAAAAACCTGACAGCTTGTCTTTAAAGATCAGGAAATGAGGCAAGGATGCCCACATTTGACTCTTTTATTTAACGTAGTACTGAATGTCTTAGCTGTAACAATTAGGTAAGAAAAAGAAATAAAAGCATCTAAATCAAAAAGGAAGAAGGGCCAGGCACAGTGGTTCCTGCCTATAATCCCAGCACATTGACAGGCTGAGGTGGGAAAAATCTCTTGAGGCCAGGAGTTTAAACTAGCCTGGGCGAGATAGCAATGCCTCATCTCTACAATAAACAAACAAACAAACAAACAAACAAACAAACAAACATTAGCTGAGTGTGGTTGCACACACCTGTAGTCTGAGTAGTTGTGAGGCTAAGGCATTGGGATGGCGTGAGCTCAGGCATTTGAGGCTGCAGTGAGTTACGATCATGCCACTGCACTTCAGCTTGGGTGACAGAGTAACACATTGTCTCTTAGGAAAAAAAAGGAAAGGAAAGGAAGAAGTTAGATTTTCTGTGTTTGCAGATCACATGCACGTAGTAAACTTTAAAGACTCCATAAATTTTTCTAAATGTTAGAACTAATAAATAATTCACTAAAGTTATATGATAAAAATTCAACTTATAATAATAATGTGTATTTCTAACACTAAAAATACAATATCTGAAAAGAACAATAGGAAAACAATACCATTTATAATCTCATCAAAATAAAAATATTTAAGAATAAACTTAACGATGGAGGTGAAAAGCTTATACAATAAAAACTATAAAATGTTAGTGAAAGAAATTAAAGAAGAAATAAAAAGATTGAAAGACATTCTATATTCATGGATTGGAAAAATTAATACTGTTAAATGTTCATACTATCCAAAGCAATCTGAAAATTCAGTGAAATCCCTGCCAAAATCCCAATGCCATTTTTTCAAAAATAGAAAAAAATCCTAAAATTCATATGTAACCACAAAAAAAAACCCCATGACTAACTAAAGCAATCTATAGAAAGAATAAAACTGGAGACACCATACTTCATGATTTCAAAATACATTACAAAGATATCATACAAACTACATCAAACTAAAAGTCTTCTTAGAGCAAATGAAACAATCAACAAAATGAAAAGGCATCCCACAGAATGGGAGAAAACATTTGAAAACCATGTATTAAATATGCAATTAATTTCCAAAATATAAAGGGAGTTCTACAACTCAATAGCAAAAAAGAAAAAAAAATACAACTATAACTAGATTAAAAATTGAGCTAAAGACTTGAGTAGAAATTTATTAAAACAAGACATACAAATGACTAAAAGTTACATAAATAGATGCTCAGTGTCACCACTTATTATCAGGAAAATGCAAATCAAAACCATGTTGAAACAGGACTTCACACTTGTCAGGTAGCTAATATCATAAAAACCAAAGGAAAAAAGGATGTGGAAAAATTAGAATACTGTACAGTTAGTGGGAATAAAAAATGATATATCTATTATAGAAAACAATATGATGGTTCCTCAAATAATTAAACTTAGGACTACTATAGCATCTAACCATTCAACTCCCTAATATTTATGCAAAAAATTCAAATCAGGAGCTTAAAGAGATATTAGCATTCTCATGTTCATTGCAGCACTAGTCACAATAGCCAAGATGTGAGAACAACCTAAATGTCCATCAAGGAATGAATGGATAAAGAAAATGTGGTATATACATACAATGGGATATTGTACAGCAGTGTGTGACAACATGATGTCATTTCTTAAAAATGAAATTTGTCATTCTTTAAAATTACATATGTCATTCCTTGAAGTCATTTTCTTAATTTTAAAAATTGATATTTTGCAATATATGGCAACATAGATGAACTTTGAGGACATCATAAATGAAATAAAATAGTCACAGAAGGACAAATACTGCAAGATTACACATATATAAGCTCTCTAAAATAACCAAATAAATAGAATCAAAGAGTGAAATATTGGTTACCAGGGGCTGGAGTGCAGGGGAAATAGATGTAACATCAATTGACTAAATAAATTAATTCTGGAGATCTGCGGCCAACATTGTACCTATAGTGAACGATACTGCAAGGTTCACTTAAAATTTTCTTAAGAGAATAGGTCTCATGTTAAGTGTTATTACCACAGTAACATTAGATTTAAAAAAAGAAGTCTCAAAGTTTGTATTTTAACATATATATGTATTTATAATGATATACAATGAATTACAGAGCATTTGTTTCTTGAGTTTCCAGTTATTCTTAATTCATGAATATATTTTACAAGTTAAGAGAGAGTCCTTGTGTATTATTATTTCTAATTTTTATTTTATTTTATTTCTGAGAAAAATACTATGTTCTAGAATTCTTAATGATAAAGTATGTATTTTTACCAGTGTAAGTAACACAGTCTGCAAAGCTGAAGTTTTCCAAATTTTTAATTCTAGAATATGTTTTAAAAATGCTTCCCTTATGTAAGAATATGTTTTCATTTCCATAGTAAAAGTGATTTTTATAACTAAAGTTGTATTATGAGTCATTAGCATAAATCTAGGATCTACTTAATGCAATTTTTATACATATATGGAAATAATGCATATATTCAATGATAATATTTAACAAACAATTTTAAGTTTTGCTTGAAGCAAGACAAAGAATTAAAGAAATATTAAGACAAACTATTTGTATGCTGTCTCATTTTTTATTGGCTCTTGAAATGCAATTTATGATTCAAAATGGAAACTCCCTGATTACCTTGCAAAGTTGTCCTTTTGGATAATTGTCATGGGACTAAACCAACCATAATCATTCCGTAAGAACAATTTCTATATTAGTTCTTTGACCATCATAGTGTAGTGGATTGAATATTTTCCCTTCCCCTCCAAATTCACATTCACATGGAACCTCAGAATACAATGTTATTTGACATAGAGTCTTTATAATAATTTGTTAAAAATCTCAGAATAAGTCACCTTGGATTTAGAATCGGCCCTAAATCCAATGACAGATATCTGTACAAAAAGAGAAGACACAGATACTCAGAGGGAAGAAGGCCACGTGAAGATGGAAACAGATTGAAGTTATGTTGCCATAAGCCAAGGGATGCCAGTGGCCAACAGCAGAGGCAAGGGAGGATTCTTCCCTAGAGCCGTCAGCAGTAGCATGGCTGTGCTGACATCTTCATTTCCGACTTCTAGCCTTCTGGTCTGTGAGGCAACAAATTTTGTTGTTTTAAAATACTGAGTTGTTGGTACTTTGCTATGGCAGCACTAGGAAACTAATACATTTGATATGGATTACATTGGAAAGTAACCTCACAACAGACACTCTAGCACTGTTTTATTTGAGTTACTATGAAAACTTATCTGGCCAGAGTATAATAGAAAGGGATCCAGTTGTGGACAAGCAAAGAGAACACATAGCCTGCCAATAAATGCCATCTTGGCCCGGGGCAGTGGCTCATGCCTGTAATCCTAGCATTCTGGGAAGCCCAGGCGGGAGGACTCCTTGAGGTCAGAAGTTTGAGACCAGCCTGAATAAGGGCGAGATCCTGTGTCTACAAGGAAAAAAAAAAAAAAAAAGAAAAGAAAAGAAAGAAAGAAAAGAAAAGAAAAGAAAAGAAGGAAAAGAATAGTCAGGTGTGATGGCATGTGCCTGTAGTCCCCGCTACTCAGGAGGCTGAGGCAGGAGGATCACTTGAGCCCAGGAGTTTGAGGTTGCTATGAGCTAGGATGATGCCACGGCACTCTAGCCAGGATGATAGAGTGACTCAAAAAAAAAAAAAAAAATCACTGCTGACATCGGTGGGATCAAAAAATAAGTTACAGGATTGCAGAGTCATGCATTAAACTATGAAAATTCATAAAATTAATATTTCTGAGAACTTAGTATGTGCCAGGAGATGTGCTAGGCATGGAGGATATAACAGCATTAAAAAACAAACAAAATAAAAACCAAAAAAATACCACTAGCTTCAGCTCTTAAGGTATCTTTGGTCTATTAAAAATGAAGCAAAGAATATGTATTTCAATTCATGTTATTAACTACTATGGAAAGAGTATGCATTAGATGTTATTGAAATATACAAAAGGTTTTAATTCCATCTACAACAGTGATTCTTGACCTTAACTAGCATTAATATCAACTAAGAAGTTTTAAATAAAATTATAAACTTGATATCTTCCCTAAGAAACGCCAAGTTAACTGTTCTGTTTTAATTTGTTTGCTTGCTTGCTTTTTGTCTTGTTTTTAACTTTCTTAGTTAACTCTAATGACAGAATTTTTAAATTCTATTGGAGTGCTGGCTTTCAACACTGATGCTCTTTTTATCTCATGGTAAAATGGTGAGAACAATAACATATTCCCCCATGATATAAGATATATTGTGCCTGGATACATGGGGTTTGGCTAGCAGCTGCTCCTGCAGCCAGTTCGACTTGAAATGGCCCAGCAGCAAGCAGTGGCTGACAGCACAAAAAAACTCAATTATGAATATATATTCTAGATGAGTAGCCTGAATTCATTGAAAATCATATTCAAATGAAGTTGACTCAAATCCCATACTACTTACGGTGAGAACCACATGTTTTACATGTTCATTAAGTATCCAGGAGAAGTGGCCTTTTTATTAGTCACAAATGGGTCCATACTGCCTTCACTTTTTTAAGTTTATTAATATTTTCACCATCTCCGGCAAACATAAAATTGTCCTAGATTTGTAATATTATAACTAATTCTCCAATCTCCCAAAAAACATTTTTGTGGATAGCAAACTATTTGAAGGTTTTGTCTCACTAGTCTCTGAGTCATTCTCTTTCTCTTTTACACACATACACACAAATATACACACTCATGAGCATATATTATACCCACATTTGTTACATACTTTTATTAGGAAATGAATTTAAAAAGGAAATACCAAATAGCATATGCCAAATATTGAGCAGTAAAAAGATACTAAAAATCATAGATATATTTGTTCAAGAGCTCTTGAGAATTTTTCTTTGTTTTTCCATAACAAAAATGAAAAATCTAATTCCTATCCTCATTAAATCTATTAGCTCCTTGAAATGAAGATGCTTTTCTCTTGAACTTCTAATAACTTCTCTAAACCTAACAAAACCACTGATCTTGTAAATGACCAGGAGTTCCCCTATGGGCCTGTCTGTTCTTCAATGTTAGTTTATTCTCAGCTTGTAAGCTTGTGAATACAATTTCAGTCTTCAACTTTAAAGATCCAAAACCAAACAGGAGAAACTGTGCCTATATTTCTTATGCATGTCTCTAAAACATCCTTCTATGTTACCAGAGGCAGAATAATTAATTAATTGTGCTAGTATTTGCCATCTGATTGCATTTGTCAGAATAGATTTTCATTTCTCTAAAGCATGTCATATCACCATGTTAACTTCTTCAATTACATTTCTCTGAAGAAATTATGCCATGTACTATGCACTCTTTTAAAAGACTTTTTATTATAATCTTCTTTTATTTTCTATATAATCAGCATATAGTTGATATTTCACAAACATTAGTTCCCTGCTCTCTTCCTGTGAAAAATTCAGAAAATTCTGGTGTATGGTAAAACAAATT